CACATGTGCTTTAAATTTTTCATTATTCTTGGCTGAATGTGGTGGCTCATGCCTGTAACCCCAGCACTTTGGGAAGCCGAAGCAGGCAGATCACGAGGTCGAGAGATCGAGACCATCCTGGCCAACATGGTGAAACCCCATCTCTACTAAAAATACAAAAATCAGCCAGGCGAGATGGCGAGCCTGTAGTCCCAGCTACTCAGGAGGCTGAGGCAGGAGACTCGCTTGAACCCGGGAGGCGGAGGTTGCAATGAGCTGAGATCGTGCCACTGCACTCCAGCTCTGGTGACAGTGCAAGACTCTATCTCAAAAAAAAAAAAAAAAATTCATTATTCTTAATTTTCTTTTTTCCAATTTCTACAATTCTTATATTGCTCCTGTTGTAGTAGAAAGTTATATTATTATTTGAGATGGAGTCTCGCTCTGTTGCCCAGGCTGGAGTACAGTGACGCCATCTCGGCTCACTGCAACCTCCGCTTCCAGGTTCGGGCAATTCTCCTGCCTCAGCCTCCTGAGTAGCTGGGAGTGCAGGTGCACAGCACCATGCCCATCTCATTTTTGTGTTTTTTGTAGAGATGGGGTTTCACCATGTTGACCAGGCTGGCCTCAAGCTCCTGACCTCATGATCCGTCTGCCTCGGTCTCCCAAAGTGCTGGGATTACAGGCGTGAGCCACCACGCCCGGGCAGAAAGTTATTTTTAACTTAAAAATGTTTAATAAGAAACTGCCACCCTTCAAGGTGACAATACGGGGCCGCGGGGGACAGGCATGAGGTGGGGGCCACTGAGGAGAGGAGCCTCAGTCTTACAGGAACAGGACAGGAAAACCCAGCCTCTTTTCTCCTTGGCTCCCTGTTGTGGATAAGAACTCTCTTATCTGAGTTCCGCACATGATCCAGAAAGTGCTGATAAGTGCATAGCAAAAAAGTCAACTCTGGAGATGATCAGTGATTAAAAAACCCCAGGCCGGTTTCCCCTCAGCAGAGTCCACGGCTGCCCCACTACCTCTTTCACTGAAAATCTAACTTCATTTAAATAGTTTGTAAGAAACCCAGAATTTGAAAGCTAGAGTTGTCCATGTGGACCGGTCCTTCCTGCTTTTCACCTGGAGCCCTCTTGGGGCTGCCCCTAGATCTAGGAGGAGCATCTCAGGGGTGAGAGCCGGAGGATTTGGAAATAGCGGAGGCTGAATTAAACTTCACTTTAACCTGGGAGGGACGAGGGCCTGGGGAAACTCCAACTTCTCTGAGCCTTATTTTCTCATCTTCCAAAAGGGTAGAACAATCCCTATGCCTCCCCCTCCATATTTTAGCTTCTCCGAAGAGACGTGCTATGGCTGGCTGTGGCTTAGTTCTTTGTGGGAGTGTGGATGTGGGGCGGGGTGAGGTGGAAAGGCTGCTTTTCTGTTTAATGGCATTTACACTCTGGACGAAGCCACTAATGGGCACCCCCACCACCTCCCCCAACCTCCACTGTGTTCCAGGCTCTCCCACCACCTCCCCCAACCCCCACTGTGTTCCAGGCTCTCCCACCACCTCCCCCAACCCCCACTGTGTTCCAGGCTCTCCCACCCCCATTCCTAGGCCTGGTTCTGCCTCTATCCTTCTGCCCATCCCCATTCCTCTCTGGATCAGGCTTACACCTGTGCAGAAGGGAGAGGACATTTGCATTTTTCTTAGCCAGACAAGCTTGATGGGGCCACTTCCTTTTTCCCTTGAAACAGCTACGAAGCCAGGTACTGTGGCTCATGCTTGTAATCCCAGCACTTTGGGAGGCCAAGGTGGGCGGATCACTTGAGGTCAGGAGTTCGAGATCAGCCTGTCCAACATGGTGAAATACCATCTCTACTAAAAATATAAAAAAATTAGCCAGGCATGGTGGCATGCACCTGTAATCCCAGCTACTCGGGAGGCTGAGGCAGGAGAATTGCTTGAATCTGGGATGTGGAGGTTGCGGTGAGCTGAGATCATGCCACTGCACTCCAGCCTGGGCAACAGAGAGACT